GGAAACCCCTTAAAACAATGACATCTGACACTTACTGCTAAGCTTCTCATGTTGAGTGTGTGTAGTACTAGTGTCTATTAATTAGCATTACTTGTCTCCTCTTTCCCAAGTGAACAAGGATGGATAGACATGGTAAAACCAAGCAAGAAAAATATCGACAAGAGGCGCTGTGATTGTAATCAGCAACACCATGAACCATCCATGACGTTCGGGTGAAGCCTTTTAGATTCATTGAGGCGAGCTCACCCGTTCTTCGGATGCTAGGTTTGTTTCTATTGCTGCTGCTGCTTTTGGCAAACAGCCATCGATCGCAGGTTTCGGGAATCTTTAAAGCCAGTCACTAAGAAATACGGTAACGAGGGAAATGTCAAAAAGCCTACCAGTCCTTGATGCCTATCTGCAGCTCCTCGTCGTCTCCTTCCTTGCCATCCTCGTCCTCTTCAGCACTGTTCAACATCTCCTTCAGCGATTCCTCGAATCGCCGGTAGTCCTCCTCCTGCGAAACTTATGGCACGCACGTAGAAACAATTCAAGGAAACGCAAGGGAGCGAATAAAACAGACGAGGTCGTCCGTGTTCGCATTTCCTCGTACTACTCCTACGGCTTCTGTAACATCAGAAAGAAGCAGCGCGAGAAAACCTGCCTTGAGAGCCTTGGCTCTGATTCTTGCAGCCGCCTTCTCGGCCGCGAGGAGGTGATCCTCTTCGATCATTCGTCTCGTCATCCAGTACTTATCGATCTCGTCTCGCGTCACGCTCCTGACGACGGCCGGCTTTCTTGCTTCCGGCGTTGCCGATGGCAGCGGCGGCACCATCTTCGCGGGGATCATCGAAACCTTCTTCTTTGGTGCCACCAAACCTGCTTCCTTCTCCATTCTTTTGGTGGGCTGCTACTGTCCTCTCTCTCTCTCTCTCTCTCTTTCTCTTCGGTTGCTTGACCATTAAGACACACTTGTGTATCTAACGGTCTACGAAGCTGCTGCTATTCCAACCTAAGATTCCAAAGTGGACCGGTAGAGAAAAATCAATTCACGCCCGTCTTATTCTCCTCCGTTTAGATGAGTTTATCACACTGAAGCTTCTCATAATATTCTCCTCGAGGTTGCAGTATGTGTGTCGATCAGATCTTACCACGACGGGGTTGGGGGCAAGTGAGTGTGACTGCCGTGCTCAAAAGCGTAGTGCACTGCAAGCAAGCAGTGGTTCGTTCTTCAGCCCCCGCCAACAACACACCCACCCATCATGGCCACACCCAAACACCGGTGGTAACAGTAAGTAAAATCAGACGGTCGAGCATCAAATTCGCAATATTTTAACCAACTTTTTGAGGGGAGGGAGACGTCCCCCAACCCAACCATTCAAAAATTAAAAGTCCTTCAACATTAAAATTAAGTTTCCATTTTTTATAATAAAAGTAACGAAATTAAAGTCCTTTTAAGTTTTTTCTCTTTCACGTTTTAACAATTCCTTAAAAAAAAAACTCAAATTCTCTTCAAATAAATAATTTGAATAAATAACAAAATAAAATAAAATTATTAAAAAATAAAATATTATTAGTGCATGTACTATATAAGTATTTTAATTATTATTCTAAGGATTGTCTAGATCCGGAGCCATGGTCGTTTATTAATTCTCTCGTAGGAGAGTCCCGATGTGTATAGAGTCACATCTCACAAAAACTACTCTTCTTATACCTCTACATTGGTGCACTAATCACCATAGGGATAGGATCGATGATAAACTTCATATCTCTATGTATTAAAGTACTAATCATTGTGATTCTTAACTAACCAATCAACTTGTTATTATCACATTAAACCTCCTTTAAAGAATTTTCTATAGACTCATTTTAGATAAAGACTCATCCCCCTTGATGAGTTTAAGACCTTAATCCTATTTAAATCTTTAGTGAGGCAATCAACTAGATTATTATCAATTTTAATATAAAAATAATAAAATAAAAATCTAGTCATCTAACAAAATTTTGTCTAATCATTGTGTCTACTCATTTTAGTACTTATATAAGTTTCTTTTTACGAAAATCTATTGCTACTTTACTATCACAATAAATATAAGTATGGTTTGAGATCATAGGAAGAGTAGAAATTAGCTTAGCTTGCCTAGTAGTTCTGGTGATATTAGTTTGTTTAGTTGATTGCCAAATAGCACTTGCACACAGAAGAAATACATATTTAATATCTAAAAAATTAGAAATGCAGTTAACATCACTGTATCCTTTAATAACCCAAGTACCCTTAAGGCATTTAAAAACTCATTCTAAGATACATTATAAAAAATATCAGGTCTAATCTTATTTGATAAATAGAGAAAAGATCTAATGATTTGAGAGTATCTTTTATAGGATTATTAGTATATTTAACAAGTTGAACATTTGGATTATAAGAAAAGTAGACAAATGAATAATCAAAATACCTAAATTTATATATATTTTTTAGTATAATGAGATTGAGATAATAATATAGAATTTGAATATTTCTAGATTTTCATTCTTAAGATAATATCAGCTTCACCAAAATCTTTCATATCAAAGTGATAGATAAAATTGATTTAATCTCTAGTATCATATCTAAATCTGAAGCAAGATTTAAAATATTATCAACTTAAAGACAAAGAAAGGTAAATTTATTATCTATCCTCTTACAATATAGATAATTATCATATTCATTGATTTGAAATCCAAAAGATAAGATTATATAAACAATTTTTACGTGCCACTACTTAAGTTCTTCATACGAGGATCAAAACAGCATACACACTTTTCCTTCTTCTCCAAGCATGATAAATCTTTCGGATTGGTTTTTGTACATTTTTTCTTCTAACTCTTTATATGAAAAAATAGTCTAGTTTATGAATGAAAACAATGAAAAGTAGGACTCGGATGGTAGTAATACAAGCGTAAAAGTGTGAAATGATCAATACTAACTATTTATAAAAAATCATGAGCAACAAGCTTAGCCTTATATTTTTTTAATTGTACCATCAGTCCTAATCTTCTTCTTAAAAATCCACTTATAACCTAGGAGTTTAGTTTTAGAAGATAAGTTAGAATCCAAGTGTGATTACTAATTATTGATTCTATTTCTCTTGTAACTCTTTTTTTTAGAAAAAAAATATTAGGTGAAATGAAAAATAATTTCAAAGAAGAATGTATCTCTGTATTCAATTAAAGTATCATTTGAGATTTAAGATATTTTAGAATTTATTATAAGAGACCTATAAGTGTTGCTAAAAGAGTACCTACCCTACAAAGACGCCTCATAGTTTTAGAACCTATCTTTTTTCCCTTGTATTCTAGGATACTAATTTTAGATAAACACCCTCATATTCAAAACTAACTTAACCTTGGTTTATAATCCTTCAAAAGTTCACAAGCCTTTTTATCCTTTTATGGTATGATGCTAAGTATATAACAGATAGATAAAAGAGCCTCCCCCCACAAATTTTAAGGTACTTATGAACTAAAAATCAAAATATTAATAATATTTAAAAGGGTTCTATTTTTTCTTTTAGAACCACTATTATATTAAAGTAAAAAGGGGACTTTATGAATTATGCTATGATCTTCACAAAATTTAATAAATTTATTATAAATGTACTCGCCCCCTCTATTAGATTTTAGGATTTTATTTTTTCTACAAGTTGGTTTTTAACTTCAGTCATATATATCTTAAATTTGGTAAAAATTATATCTTTTATCTTTAAAAGATTAGTGTAGTAAAATTTAAAGAACTCATCAATAAAAGTCATAAAATAATAATTTTCACTTCTAGTTGGTGCTCAATTAGAGTCACAAACATCACTATAGATTAATTCAAATTTTTGGGTATCTCTAAATTGAATAGATTTAAAAGGTTATCTAGATTGTTTAGATTAAACGCAGATCTCACAATAGAGATGATTCATCCTTCTTGATTGAAAAAATAATTACATTACATATATATATATATATATATATATATAATCTCCGCATTTAGCCTGATAAATTGGGAAGGTGTGGTACTGTGTGGGATGATCGGGGTGTATTTTTGGTTACTGGGGTCTATCTGATCCGCTAAAATTGGAATCGGACATCTTGGTCTGTGGGTACACCCTTAAGCCTAACTTTTACGGAAAAATAATTATAGACGTTGCTAACTATTGAGATGGTTCGAGTCTGCCAGACAATTAGATCTTCTTAATAAAACACATGTTAATGTTCGTTGTATAATAGAAGCCGATAATAAAAACCATGTTAATAATGTTCATCGTGTAATAGAAGCTATGAATCATTGATGTTGTTCAAATCTTGTAAACACTACTTCGATCTTAACGAAATACATGTTGATTTATTAGACACAGTTAACTACGTTCTTAATGACGATGCAAAAAATAATTAACGCCATTTGTGTTATTTTTAATTATATAATATAATAGGACCTTTTTCTAAAAACCCACGAAAACCGAGAGATCCTGGTTTCCATATTTTTCCCTCCAACATTATTCTCTCTTTTCTTTTCTGTATCCTTCTTTTAATTCTACAATTCTAACATACGCAAGCAAATTGATAATTTGATGATAATTGGGGTGGAACATACCTCGATCGGTAAAGGCAAAGGCGACCCTCCTTCTTTTCTTTGAGATTCTTCATCCTCAGACTCCGGGAAGTTGCCTTACATCATCAATTTAGTCGGCAGCATCCAAAACCCTTCCTTCCTGTACACTGACTAGTTATTTTCCGAGTAAATCAGCTTATGCTTTTCACAGGTATCGACTCTGCCCCGCTGAAATAAAGCCATACAAGGCAAAGCGCTCCATCAGGATGGTGCCGCTAATGGCATATAAATCATGTCAACAAGGCATCGAGGAAGGTGCAACTCCTCTCTCTCTCTCTCTCTCTCGACCTTTGTGCATCTGCTTAACAGATACAACAAATAGTGCTTGCTCGATCATGCAAACTCCACTAAAAATGCATAAACCATCATGCACACACAATAGTTGACATCGACCAAGTACGATGATTTTGTGAAAAATTAGCATCAACGATGCACATTAAGGAAATTTTAACATGACAAGCATTTATTAAAAGTCTAGTGCACATGCAATTGCGTCTGCAAGTATCAAGATAATCTTTGATTAGTGCATCGCAAAACAAAAGCAATCATCTTACAGCCATGAGAAGTTCTATGCCTCCGGATGAAGACCTGCAGATAAATGAACAGCCATGAGAGCGGTGCTTCCAGACACATTGCAATCATCAGGCTAAACAAACAAGACTGACACAGAAATAAATACAAATCACCATTGCAAAACTGGTATCCACTTTAGACCATACATATTTTTGTCCAACTTTCACTTGCTGTATAGGGTTTCAAGCCCCTAACCATGAGAAGGTATCGTGTTGATGCCTTGGAAACAGAAAATGAAATTTTACCATGAAGTGCCTAATGGGATTAGTAAGTCAATGTTAATCAAAAAGGAAAAAAAACTGAATCTATGGATGTGCTTGCATCATCAAAAGACACCAAACTAGAGTTCTCCAAAGTCAACTTCATGAAGTAAAGTGTTCCGTTTTTTTAAGGTCACTTAAATCAAAAAGTCGAATAACTAATCTCTCCACATTTCCATAGACGATGTCATAGTTCTCACCAGATTGCAATAATGTGCTCCACCACCCATAGGTAGTTGCATATATATACAATGTGCGAGTATTCAGGTAGGATCAGACCAAGTACAACCATGCACAATCTGATTATGAAACAAGTCATTAAGATGGGATGAGTTACCGGGTTGTAAGATCACAAAACCTATTCATACCTGGTCTTGCTAAATTAATTGCAGAGATGAAGCTGATCAGGCTAAGTCTAGTCTGTTACTAGGCCTACATTGTCGACAAGCAAATATAAATTCCCATTAAAATTTTAGCTCAAACAACAAAGAAGCAAACCTCTGAATTTTTTTCAGAAAAAAGGAATCTTCTATTTCAGAAAAAAGGAGTCCAGAAGATGGAGAAAAAGTGCATCTCAATAATATAAGTGCTTCAATGATGAAACACAGACATTATTAAAACGTCAACAAACAAAGTCCACTAGATTTATAATAAATAAAAGCGGCATGTGTCTCTTCAACCAAAGATAATGGAACACATCCAAAAGTTCCCTTGCAAACTTTGTATCACCTATGGAATTATATATACTACTATTTAATGCCATGAAGACCGATGATTTCACCAACATTTCCTCCATAGCCCCACAATTTATATGTAATTTAGAACTTCAACAAACTCCAAAAGGAACAAGTGGTACAGAATCAACTCCAGCTTGCTGTAGTAAATTCCCTTTTCAACTTCTCACGTGTAGTTTGCCATATAATCCTGTCTCAATGGGACACACATTTAAGATAACAACTTCTTCTATGTTCATTGCTTGCTGATCTTAATAAGGTTTTGTTCCATTTTGAGACTGATTTAGATCCCATAGTCACATAAAAAACAGGTTTAGAAACTCAGTTTTCCTCTGCATGTAGGAATTTATGCACACGGGTATAGACACAAAATCAGTTTTCCTCGGGGTCACATGGGCATGAAGGGTTGCTTTTGAGGGTAAGGAAATGCATTACTAACTACTGTTGAACCAAACCAAATTTAAAAGTCTGGTTCGGTTGCTTTATTTGAATTGGGCACTCGCCCGAAGCGCCCGGCGCCTAGGTTCGGGCGAGCGCCTAGGCGGCGCCTTATTGAAGCCGCCACCTGGTCCACACACGAGGCGCTCAGGCGAGTTTAAATCATGATCAAAAACAGGTTTAGAAACTCAATTTTCCTCTGCGTGTAGGAATTTATGCACAGATACATAGGCATAGCTCTTAAATTCCAAAATCATGAATTTGATATGCTAATATAACACATGAGAAGTCTACAACTTGATGGAGTGTATATCCATGTGCTAGTTCCTCTATAATGGCATATTACAACACTCTGAGTTGGGGAAATGGACAGTGAGTCTAATCTTTGACATCTTCTGCTCAATGATAGCAAAAATATTTCCTTTTTCAAGATACGTTAGGCTGAGATTTCGTTTGCCAAGACAGTGATTGAAAGTAGGTTAAGATACTTCAGATAGTGTTTCTTTATGGGAACTGATCTTTATAAGTTGGAAAATGCTGCAGATGATTTTTTAATTTAGTGTGGTACAATGCATTTCCAAATGCATCAAAGGGTAGCACCAAATGCAATCCATCGGTCCTACAATCCCTGAGTTTGTCACATTCCCTTGAATGAACTAATTTGCATTTCTTTACAGGATAATTTGACACTTTAACCAGTCATATCTCTAGTCTGAGATTCCTGCCGTTGCTAGTTGAGTGATGTTGTTAATTGTCACAAGCGCTCACTCAAGGATCTAGGCTGTCACCTTGATTTAAATGTGTGGCACATGCCGGTTGAGTAATTACATGATTTAGCTACATGTTAAAAGTGAATGCTTTTGCTTGCAAGATGTGCTAAATCTAGATTGTGAGAGTTATAGAATTTTGGGAAACTAACCAAATGATGTTGACAGAGTTCAACAATGGAAAAAGATCCATCTAGCTGACCCCAAATAATTGAGACATTAAGGCTGCTTGTTATTATTGCAACCAAAATGTTGAGGGATCATACTTTCAGAATTTAAGCAATGGGAACAGCATATATCTTGTAAATATCATTTAAAGTCAAGAGTCAAGACCTTGAAAATATCATTTAAAGTCATGACCTTGAATAAGTTGAGTCCGGCAGTCCGGTAATTGAACATGGCACCAATGTGCGCAAAGACTTGACACGCCAGTAAAAGTTGTGGATTTTATAAAAGCTAGTTAACAATATTCCAGTTTGTTATCTAACAAACAATGCTGGAGGTCACTCAAATAATTAAATGGAGCTATGGATGCACTGGATACCTAATCTGAAATGAAGAGTAATACCAACACAGAAAAAGGTAAAATCAGACAAAATCTTCAATAGGTAACCCTTCATCCTTAATTTGCAATGGTTTATGTAGACAGACCCTAGGACATCAGCTGACTTTGCTACTCCATACTAATTCCTGTGGTAGGATTGCATACTCTTGACTCCTGAGAGAGATTATAAGGAAAAAAATAGTTGAATCCCCAACAAATATTAGACAGTGGCTGATCTCTAAATCCATGTGCTATCAACATACCTTTGTCACATTTAGTCGAACACTTGGCTTTAATTCTCTAACTCCTTGTTTAAGTCAAATAAAACAGTATGCTTTTTACTGCTCTCAAACTAGGCGTATTTCACAACATGTCATGCCACTACGAACTGTAAGATCCTAAGGCAATTGAGACAACACAATCTTCTCCCTTGCAAATCACTCTCTTTGGAGACTTCCAAGCGATTTGCACCCGGACAGCCACAAACTGAAGCATACTGAAAGCAAGCGCAATGCCAAGCGAAACTACCATTTAAAACAACTCCCAAGAATAGCCAAGAACTAAAAGCAGGAGGGGAAAATAAAGAGAAATAGAGGGACGAACTTTCACCCAACCGAAGCGATCTGAGCAACGAAAAAGCAGTAGCTACTTAGCAGAATCGGCTGCGGAAGAGGTAGTGGGAGGAGGGGAATGGCTGACAACGATGGGTGGCCGCAGGGCTCGGTGCTCCTCTTGTTGTTGCTTCCTGGAGTTGAACATCGCCTCCGTCTCCACAACCACCAACCGCTTCACCTGATGATCGGGTAATATGAGCAAACCGGCACCAAATCAGCAATCAAGAGAGGGGGAAACGGAAGGAGGAGGACGAGAGTAGTCGTCGGCGGTGGCGGGGGACCTGGTTGAGCATGCCGAGGAGGGAGGGGGTGTTGCGGTGAGCAACGGTACGGTGGCAGCGGCGGAGGCGCATCGCGTCAAGGGTGCGGCGGTGGAGGTGGCGGGTGCCAGGGAGGCCGCGCACCAGCGTGATGTATAGCCTCGGGCTCCACTCGATCGGCACCCGCGCCTTGAACGCATTGAACGCGCTCCCGCTCATCTGGCTCTGTGAATAGAGAACGGCAGGAGATTTGCGGCATTTAGGGCTAAAGAAAGAGAGAGAGAGAGAGAGAGAAGGTGTGGCAACGGGCGCGGCGTTTTTGGTTCGTTGAACCCGTTCGGCCCAATCCACTCAAATAACAGGCCTGGAGGTGTGTCCGACCGCATCATCGTCCAGAATTAATTGGTTCGGTTCGATCGGAAAAATATTAAAA